CGGAGTCCAAACTGGTGGAGATCAGTGCTGCCGCTGCACAGCAGCACAAGAAGATGTTGCGCAACGACTTGTGCTACGATGTGTTGATTTCCATGACCGGTTGCAAACCCCGGCGCATCATCCGGTGGTACAAAAAGCGCAGACGGAAAACAACGCTGCGACGGAGCAAGGTGCTTCGCCGACACTTGGGAAATGCTTGCGCCTGAGTGGGTGCCACTACCAAAGCGACCTCATGGACCGAAGTATGGTGGGCTGCTCGCTGAACAAGTCGATGTCCTGCCACACGCAGGGCGATGCGATCCTGTGTCTTGTTTGCCGCGTGATGCGCAACAAACAGTTTGCAGCGAACAGCGCATGTTTGCAGATGCGCCCCGTGGCTTGGCAGTTTTTGAGGATGTGGCAGCGTCTGATCGAGAGGAGTACGTGAAGCTTGTGGTCCGACAGCTGCGCTCCAATCAATTCGGCTTGACATCAAAGCCCTGTGGTGGCGGCGCCGTGATTGCTGTAGGCAAACCTGGTGGCAAACGTCAACGCGCTGTGTGGCGTGGTCGGAGGGTGTCGTCGGCGGCAGTGAGGCCTCCCTTGCAAACCACGGCGCTTGGCGTCACCAACCGCATTGACTTATCTGGAGCGCAAGCCTGGAAGGCTCTTCCGCTGCAGTAAGCGAGATGCAACCTGCTGGTTTGATCAGCTGGCCTTGCCTCCTGCACTGCAGCGATGGATGGGCAGACCATGGGTCAGCTTCAACGACCTGTGCAACATTGGTGGAATGTCGCTGGCAGAGGTCGAGGCTTGCTTGTTGCAGGGTGAATTTCTGGTCGGGTCAAGATTTTGCGCTGTTAGTCGCACATGGCCTATGGGATTTGCTTGGAGCTCTTTTGTTGCCCAGGAATTTCTATTGGATGTTTGCCATTCAGCTGGTTTGTCGGAGTCTTGCATCTTATCCTGTCAAACTGCAAGGCCTTTGTCATCTGATGTAGTGTTTGCAGCAGCCACAGATGACGTCGGTGAAATGATCAGGCGTGGTGTTCTGCGCAACCCAGCTAAGGATGTCAATGACGAGCTCTCAGCCATATGTGTTGGTGTCGCCCTTGAGAATGGCACGCACCTGGGCATTCCATGTGCTCGTTGTCTGGCAATGCTTGTGGGAATGATACACCTTCTGTCGTGCGCTGAAGCTTCGCCAAAGCAGGTACATCAACAACTGGGAGTCCAACAATGGTTTGATTTGCTGCGACGTTGCAAGTTGGCTGTGCATGACAAAGTTTACCAGTTTGCGCGGGACCCCCACGACTCCTCCCTCGCGAAGTGTTGTTTGAACTTGGTGTTGGAATGTTGCTTGGAGTGTTTTGGAAAGTCGATCTTCGGAAACCGTTTTTGCCGCTCTTGTCTGCACCGGATGCTAGCACCGAATTCGGATTTGGGGGCAGCGTGGCGCGCCTGCCGACTGACATGATTCGCAGACCCGCGCGGATTTTTGAGAAGCAGGGTGACTATGTAGTCCTGGACGGTGGCACTGACAGCTCAGAAGCAAAGCGTCTAGGACATGCCCACCACCTTGATTTGAGCTTGGATGATTTCGTTGACGTTTTTAGTGTCAAAAGTCGTTTTGCATCTCATATCAATGTGTTGGAAGACGAAGCTTTTCTACTGTGGTTGCGATGGCTTCTTCGGAGATGAAAACGCCACTGTTCCAGGGTAGTGGCGCTCGTGGACAGTTCTGTTTGGTTGGGCGCAGCGGCAAAGGGAAGGTCATCGTCCCAACTCAACCGCCTTTTGCGAAAGGCGGCGCCTTTGGAAATGGCTGGAGATTTGCAGGTCTACTTGATTCTGGTCCCTTCTGCCGAGGATGCTGCAGACAAGCCTTCACGGGGAACCCGTAAGATTTCGAAGATCCAGCGCCGTCAGTGCGTGGCGCCAGGCAACTCGCCGGCGTAGGTCATTTTCATTCGTTCGCGCTGTTCTGCCTTGCGTTCAGCATCTGACATGATGCGCATTGGTGCGAATGAGTCTTTCTGACCCTTGTGAATTTGCTTTGATTGTACAGTCTCAGCCAGCAACACACGTCCATCCATACTTTCCGGGCTTGAAGGCTGATTGTGTGGTAGTGGGTGCGTTGACGCTTGTTATTTGCGACGCGCGTCGAGAAGTGCAGTCTGGAGAGCGCTTTGGAATGCTGACTTCGGGGTCTGACTGTGCAAGGCCATTGGCAGCGTGTTGAATTGCTTTCTGGCGGTTGCATGTCTGAATCCTCTGCTGGATCAGAAAACTTTAATTCGTGGCTGTCGCCGTAGCGGCTACGGTAAGCCGCCAGTGTACTGAGGTGGGTGAGGATGACTACCTTGTGTTGAAGTAGAAGTGCGAATCTTTTCTAACCTTGGTGCTTGCTGGCGCCTACGGTTTTTGAGCACAAAATGTAGCAGCTTGGGATTGCGAGGGTGTGATGACCGCAGGCTATTTGTTTTGAAAGTGGCAGAACAAAGCTTTGTTACCACTCCCTAGTCGTGGCCGAAGAAGCCATTGCCACAATATAGCCGACGTTGTTGCTATGCGGCTTTTGTGTAGTGAATGCAGGCTGGGCATGAATGAAACAAAATCGAAGGCAAACGAAACTGCAATCCGTCCAGCGGGAAAAACTTTTTCACGACCCTTCTTGAGCAGGCGATTGCACATTTGTGGTTTGATTTCGTGACCCGCCCCAACTGGGCCTCCGTTCCTCTTTTTCCCGCCCTTGTGGGTGAGGATGACTACCTTGCGTTGAGGTAGCTTGCTTCTGGACCAGCCAAGCTGACTAGAAGTGCGAATCTTTTCTAACCTTGGTGTTCGCTCGCGCCTACGGTTTTTGAGCACAAAATGTGGCAGCTTGGGATTGAGGATGTGATGACCGCAAGCTGTTTGTTTTGAAAGTGGCAGAACAAAGCTTTGTTACCGCTCCCTGGTCGTGGCCGAAGAAGCCATTGCGACAATCATGGCGCACCTTGGTGATCGGGCGACCTATGCTTCTTTGGTGGTCGCGCAGCAACGAGCTGAGCAAGTCGCAGTGAAAAGCCGTTCGTAAAGAATCTTGGACACTCTTCGCAAGGTATGGCGTCAAGCGCTACCACGTGATGTTCACACTGGACCTCGCGGGGGAAGGAAGAAGAGGAGCCGACCTGGCCGGGTTGGCCATGGACGCGTAATCTTCACCGAAATACTACCTTACCAACCTCAAGATGACCATCGATGCCACATCGTATGCGTTCCGATGTCTGGGAAGCTGTTGGGACGCAGTGTGAATTCAGTCTGCCCTGTGGTTCCAACTGGGCGACTTCACCATGATCTACACCATCGAGAAGATATCGCCAAGCGGAAGTCACTGTCGGACGTCCTGCCTCAGCGAGAGCGTTTGTGGACATCACTGATGAAGCACCACCTCCTGACCAACCAGAAACTCAATATTTTCCTCCAGAACCTGATGACACCACGATGATGCCAACTCGATGAGCTGCACACAATCAGACCTGACGCCAGAAGACTGGCGACTGGTTCATCGCTCCTCAGCTTGAGTTCTTCTACGCTTCCGGCCAGCAATGTCCCAAAGCAAAGTCCAAGGTGACCTTTGAGTATTTCTCAGACATGGTCAATGAGTATGAGCCGGAATCCCCAACCGAAGAGACTGCAGAAGCTTCTTCAGCTGCACCTCATCTTGAAGAACCTGACCCCAAGCGAGCCAAGCGCGCCGACTGTGACCTTTGCTGGATTGGGCAGCTTGAGCAAGATGCCAAACTGGAATCAGAAGATTGATGCCTTCTCTGCCTTTTTCAACTGCAGAAGCTCTCACCCTATGATCGAGCTCTTTGTGAACGAGCCAAGACCAAAGAGGTGGACTCCTTCCTCAAGAATGAAGCTGTTCACAAGCGCCTGGCGTGAACTGCGCGATGCCTTGCGCATTGGTGTTCGCAACATCTATGGGAGCACAACGGCGCCCCCTGGCTTGTGGCTGGACCTGCACCGCACTCTTGTGAGCCTTGGCGCGACTCCCATCCTGGGAGAGCGTTGCTTGTGGGCCTGGTTTTCAAAGATTGAAGTCCGTGAAACTGGACATCCACGCCTTCTTGGTGTGATGGGCTACTAATAGGGAACTGCGAAAAAAGAACATGTATAGGCTCAAGGCAGTCCGCCTTGACGATGGCTCTTTCAAGATCACCATTGACCAGGACTCCTACATCGAGACACTGGTGGACGTGGACATCTCTCCAGATCGCCTACGGCAAGATGGCAGCCTCAGCAAGTCTTGGCACCTATCCAGAGTCTACCTCAAATCTGTGCCAGACGCAACTTGCTCCTGACCGAGAGTTCTTCCCCTTCCCTTTCAAGGGCGTGAGAAGGCCTGCTTTGTCTTCATGGATGACCAGTCGCGCTTGAATCGCCCCCAGGGCGACTCTACTGGTGGCCTGTGACGTTGGCAACCACGCCATTGGCATTGAAGGGACAGGTCGCCCCCATGCTCCTCCTCTCCTGAGGACCTGGAAGCTGAAGCGCAAAGCTGTTGGGTCAAACGACGCTGAGGTTCCGTCGATCCTTGAGGCGGAGGATCAGAACTTTAGAGGTCGCTTTCTCTGGAGCGAGCTCCAATGGTGTCGGCCTTCAACGAGCTGAGCGCCGTGTCGACCTGGCACAAGCTGTTGGGGACCAGGCAAGTGTGCTGTGCACTGACAGCCATGGCGCTGCAAGTGTTCCAACTGAGGGGCAACTTACGCCGCGCGGGCTTGGGGATTGTGCTGGCTGGTCTGAGATCCTGAGAGAAGAGCGCGCTGAGCACTTTGTTTGAGCCTTGGTTGTTGGACTTCCGTTTTTCCTCGAGCCCTTTGCGCTGCAATCTTAAGATTATAGATTACATTGAGCTGTATTGGGTTACATACTGTAGGATGGAGGCCATCGCTCTTGGGTTGGAATACTGCATTAGATCACCTACTGTGTGATATTATATTTGCCCTTCTCTTCTTTGACTGGTCGGTCAGGCGGTCCAGATGAAGCGTTGGAAGTCCTTTGTGGCTTCCTTGGCCTTGGATCGCCGTGTCGATTTCGAAGAAGGGGATCTAGGCCTCGCTGGAGGCGCTATGAAAGCACGATCGGAGCATCGAAAAACGGATGACGCTTGATGTTGACCTGCTGACCATGCGGAGAACATGACGCCATGGGTGCCATGTCACATCATTGTAGAAAGTTTGCGCAAATGGATGACATCTTAACGGACATAAAGGTCGATCTACGTTTTAAAACGACTTGGAGACCTGGAGGCGTCAAAGTTTTCGAGCCTGCTTTGGCCCATCCCGTTACCAAGGACTGCGCATGTTCCGTCCATTCACCTCGTGAAAAGCACTTCTAAGCGTGGCCTGCTTTGTAGGACCAGATCGTGAGGTTTGGAGGACAGACCGATCCCTCCCTTCCATGGCCAGAGAAGACCCGTGATGAGGAAAGCAGTACGGAGAAGCGTCTCGGATGCATGAGACAAGTCCTCACATAAACCTTTCACATCTGAGAGGACTTGCCTTGAACTTGTTGGCGAGCGAAAGTTGTGGACACCTTGCGAGAGTGGATTTCTAGATGGGCGGAGTTCGCTTCCCAAGGATGATTCAGAGGACGTGGCATAGCTAAAGTTTGTGTGACCCTTCAGTTATTGAGTCTGATCAAGGTTCTTGTAATAAAACTAACGACCTGACCTCACAAGTGTTTGCCAAACATGATTTTGAGTGCATTCAATAGCCAAGGATTCAGAAATCACTTCAAAAAATGCTTGGCAAGAAGATTGCGGACAGCGATGTGAACCTGGGTTGCAAAAGGGTTGGGGGGGGCGTGCGGGACGCGGTGAAGGTGGATGCAACGGAAAGTTTTTGCAGATAGCATGAAACTGATAACTTGGTGTTGCTTGCTCATGTTTGCTCTATGTGTCAGAGAGTGAAAAGTGAACATCAACAGATACCTATCTTGAGTTATTTTGTTTACGATGCATGCACCTGCGTGCTTTGAGGATGAGCAGTTCGCACAACAGCAGCAGTCGCAGTGAGTCACAGTAATTCTCGATGAATCCGACAAGGCGTGCTTTTAAAGCGCAGATTAAGGCCAAGGCGTTACGCCTCGTGATGCTTGTGATCTTACTTTCTCTTAGACTTCTTCTGCTTTAGTATTTTGTAGATATGCGTTTTGTCTCAGTTGTATAGTTTGGTGCGCTTACAGTTTGCGCAGCTTGCACAGCTTGCGGCTGGCACTAGTGGCAAAGGGCACGCTTTGGACACTTCCTCACACCGAGCATTGCTAAGCAACGCTCGGATTCCTGCAATTGCAGGCCTGGATGTGGGGCAAAGGTAGCCACATGTTGCCGGTGCTCAGCCAAACAAGGTTTAGCAGCATGTGAGAGTTCTGGAGCATCCAACATTGAAGGTTACAGTAAACCTTTTGTCGCCAGGAACCGTAGTTCTACGGGTGCTTAATGCGCATCTTGCTGCTACAGAGCTTCTGTTTGAAGGTGGGCCAAAGGCCACCACAAGGAGTTGAGCTCAGAGGTTTTGATTTTTGATCAATGCCCGAGCCGCTTGTGACTGCGCTGCCATTTCCTTGAACTGGCATGCCGTTCAAGCGATTTTCGCAGATGTGAGGGCCCTCCCACAGGATTCGGAAGCTTTTTTTGACATGCCTCACACCTCGAGAATCAAGCTTAACTCTCCTCTCAAGGATGCACGGCAGAATAGCCGAAGTGTTTTGGAGTTGTAGAGTCCGCGTCTTGCCTTTCTGATCCCTTTTGACTGATGTGTTTCTCGAACTGGATGTGTCTTAGTCTTTTTATTCTGAGCACTTCCGATGTGAACCGAATGTCCATAACACAACACATCCTGCAATGGCTTGATATGATTGTCAGCAGCCCATCGCCCATCCATATCTTGTGGGAGGCCCTACAGGTTCCTGCCCAAGCTCCATGCAGCGTTGCTCCCCCATTCTTTGCATATTTCGTGAAGCAAGATGCTTCGCAAAGCTGTTTGGCATCAACGCATGCACTTCCTGTTCCTGAGCTCCTACGTAGCTCAATACATTTTGCGTCTCAAGATAGCTTGGGGTAGAGAGTAAAGCAGTTCGGATGTCCATGCTTCATATATATTATATATATATATCTTCATAAACACCGTTGGGCGTCATCATGAGTCGAAGGCTGCAAGGCAATTTGTGGATCTACCGAGAGGCGGTGGGAATGTTGTTTTTGCCCTCTTGGCCGCATATCATCTCAAGCGAAGATTGAAGCATGAAGCTATGGTGTGTCAAACGTCACGTCCTCAAGAACATCGGCAATCGATCTATCCCGATCCCGATCCTCTGAACGTATACGACTTCGGTATCGGTTCCTTCGACTTCAGGCTTAGCGTGCCATGGAAACGGAAGAAGATCGTTTGAGACTGGACCAACAGTCGCGAGACCGTCACCTGACACATACTTTTTGACGTAAAACGACCAAACATGTTTGTTTTGTTTGTCAGGGCGACTCTGTTTCTTCTACTGCTTGGGCAGTTTTAGTCACCAAGGACACACTCAGCTTTACATAGAGATCATAGCTTCACTGAGTTAATGTCTCAAAAGTGATCGTTACTTGTTCTTTTGAGCTGTTTGATTCAAGCGTTTGTGCCGCCTAGAAGATTCTAGGCATGGCTGCGCACATGAAAGCAGTGGAAGAAGCAGAGGCAGCTGGATCAGGTGATCGTGGCGCATGGAAGTGGAAGATACGTCAGAGGCGATGACAGAGTGTAATTAATAACGTTGTTTGTGAGAGTGCATGAGGACATGTAATTGAGTGAGCATTTTGCCAGCAAAGCATCACCTCACAGTTTTCTGGAAGACTAAAGTAGAAGGTCGATTGCAATATGTTTGTGCTATTATTGTTGTTCTTTACCTCGATATGTTCTGTATGTTTGCAAGAAACTCCGAATGATGTTTGTTGCCTCCAGTCGGCAGGATCTGGGATTACATGGAGGAGAATGACATTGCTGCAAACCCGCGACCAGTGCACCACCGCATCCCAAACTTTGTGAATGCGGAGTTGACTGCTAAGCAGGCGAAGAAAAGTGTAAAATCAAAACGCTCACCACTTGTCGAACTTCATTTCTATGCTGGAAGTCGCAAGTTGAGTTGGCCAATACTGACTTAGGCTATCGAAAATAGGCCGCCTTCTCCGATAAGGCTTTTACGCTTTGGCTAAGCCTGTAACTCGATGCACCAAGCAGGTCTAGAATATCGCTGGCTGGTTCTGTGCGGTTTCTTGTCATTGCTGTCATTGCTGCACAATACGCCTTCTCAATGTGCGTTGCAGATGATCATCAACCCCGGATACCTATATTTAATTCAGTAGGAGCGACCCATAAAGTAGCCGAGTGCTAAAAGTATGAGAAGACGAGAAGAACGATAGCAATGGATTATATGTGATATAGGGTTTGTAAGCTTTGTGAAAAGGACAGCTTCTGAGCTGTGAACCTTAGGAATCTAAGTCATGAAACTCCTCCAGTGTGTCCGCAAGAAACACTGCCTTTCGAATCGTAGCAGCTTGTTTCATGTTCACCCTTCTTTGAGGGCACCCATCTTCGGGGTGCTTTGCTAGCGGATGTTGCCTAAGCACGAACTGTTCGAAATATAGCACCAGCGAACAAGAGCCATCACCTCCCTCACTCCTGTAAAGCGGGTGGTACCAAATCCACATGTGGTCCATTCCAAGCGCCATCAGCGCTGAGCACACACCACCTGATGGTGTTTTGCAGCGCTGCGCCACCAGCAAGATTCCAGACACATCGAAACGGCTTATGTAAATTGCTCCTAGTAGCGTTCTTGTTCCTAGTAGTAAGGCCAGGAGCCCCTAGTAGCGTCCTTGCTCCTAGTAGCGATGCCCTTTGTTCCACCATGTCTGCCAGTCATGAAAGTCTGACGACACCACCGACACTCTGGACGGATGGCGAAAAAGTGAACCGAAATGAGAACAAGCCAAAGATGAATTAAGCACCATGGTCTGCTAACGAAAAATCCCAGGACTTGAGTGTGCGTCCCGCACCAGCTAAGAGCAACAAAGCTAAATGCCGTAGTTCTTGCTCCGAGAAGAGCGGTCGCGCTCCTTGGATCATGCCTTTAGGCAGAAGGATGGCAGTGATCCGGACGGTCTTTGCCCGGCAGTAAGAGCTGCACTGGTTGTTTGAAAATGGAGTCACACCATTTTTTGAAGAGCTGTGCCAACTTGCCAAAAGTGTCCTGTGGACTCAGTTTTGCCAATGTATACTTTCGACAGATGAGCGATCTCCACGTATGCGACTGAACAATGCTCAGCAACGTGCCATTTAAGCGAGTGCAGAAAGGCCAAAAACTGATCAGCATCGTTATAGTCGCACAACTGCTGAATGTGCATGGCACCTGAACACTCTGGTTGGGCAGTCCAAGTGAAAAGTGCGCTGTTCGGCGTCCAGTCCCAAGAAGGAAATCGAGATCGGCATTCATCACTGTTGTCATGCTGAGCATCCTCTTCCTTTGTTTGGAAAACTTTCTTTACCACCCCTTCAGAGCCGATGGTCTGATTGAGCTTCACCAATGCTTCTTGGCGTGTCCAAGCTGCATGAAAAACAGTGGGCCACATATCGACTTGAAACGCGGCATATTGTTTTGCCAGGCGCTTGGCTTCTTCATCAGCTTTTCTATTTGCACGAATCTGCCAACCCCACAATCCTCCAGGAAAGGGCTCATGGAGCCCAATCTGCTCGAATGGTCGGTTGTCACATGTATGGGCTGGGAGCCACACAACATGAACAGGATTTTCACATTTGCTTGTCTTCCTTTGCCAAACTCGCAAAATCGCACGCCAAAGTGGTGCATGACTCCACTGGGGAGACACAGCATCATGTTGAAGCATGTCATAAAACAGGTCCACAATGGTTTTGCAGTCTGTAAAAACCCTTACACGTGCAGGGGCCAGAGTGATGGCAACCGCCAAGGCGAAAAGTTCAGCCGTGTAGGCAGCCAGAGCTATGTGTCTGACTGGTGCTGATGCCACCAACTGTTCCTTTTCATCAAAGATTGCATAAGCGGCGGCCGTGAGCCAGAAAGATTCTCGGAGCACGACAGACCCATCTGTAAACCATGTAAGTTCCTCAGCCGCAGGGTCGAAGCCAGCCTCATCAAAGACTGGTAATTTCAAGATCTGAATGCGCTGGGATGCAATGGCGGCAGGGTGCTCAACGACTCCTAAACCCGAGAAATTTTGCCCCAGCTCGTGGTGGGGAAGTCCCGCAAGGAACGCAGGCGCAGCTGGGCATTCCTTGATGATGTGCAGCAGAGACTCCTTGGTTTGGAGGCAAAAACGGCACATGGCAGAATCAGTGAAGCCGGCTGCGGCTCGCCTGTCATTGGTAATTGTACACCCAACTAGTTGTGCATCAAAATGGCACATGACATCTTTGGGGTTGACATGTTTAGGCGGTCGATGTTTGAAGGCAAGGGAAAGCCGTAAGTCAACTAACCCTGAAGGCTTCTTAAAGTCTTTCCGGGAGTTATAATTAGTCTTTTCATAGCAAAATTGTCTGCCCAAAGCATGCAACAAACCTCGGAGGTCTTTGGAGGTCACGTCCAAGATCTGAAATTTGGAAGATCCAATTCCAATGCTGAGGTCTGGCAAGAGTGCACAATGAAAAACACGCAAAGCATCACGGAAATGAGCAATAAGACTATGCTTGGAATGGACACTTGAAGAATACAAACCTTGCAATTTGGAAACAACCAAGGGGTTTCTGTGGTCAAAACGCCAAATGTTACACACTGTGACATAGGCTCTGGCCACTTGAGGATGCACGAAGCATGGATTGCACAAGAAAGTAAAAATGAGCATCCGTGCTCGCCAATGCGGTCTGCGACCCCAAATGGCATTGGCGATTTCACTTTCGATTTTGGCACTTGACAGCTTCGGAATGGACGAGATGTCAGCAGCAAATGTACACTGCGGGATGATTTCGAGGCGATGAGCTGACATTTGACCTTGGTTGGAGTGGGCAAGGCAGCAATGTTCTTAGTGTCATTGCCAATCTTGACAACCTTTTGATCTGGAAATTGCAAAGCCTCTCGTTGGGAGGTATAAATCTTAGCACCAAGAGCATCAAATTCCAACACCAGGGGAATTGTAGGAAAAAGCTTCTTAGCACTCTTCCTAGCCTTGGAGTTGGAGGCCCAAAGAGAACTTTTGGTGGGATTCAACTTTTGACCAATGAGGGCATTCCATTGTTCAGTGACCTGAAGAGCCGTAGCAAGGTGGTTGACCTTGGACAAACCGACCCAGAGGTAAGCGTCATCGATGAATACACGGCAACACACATGCGGGATGAGGCTCATGAATTTAGACCAAACCGCCATGTGAACGTTGATGGCAAGGAGGGACAGGCTGCGGCCCTGCGCCGCCCCGTTTGAGGCGGTTGTCGCAGTACTAGAGACCCACCCCCGATATGATAAATGGCGCTTCAACGAAGAGTACATTTTGACAAAAACATTCACAATCCCCTTAGGCATGCCAAAAGCCAGAAAAAGAGCTGCAGTGAAGTCTGGGATCAATCGATCGAAGCACTTGGATTGATCGAGCTTAATGCCAACGATTGCATCATTGGACGCTTGAGCAGAGCCAAATTCAACACGCAATCCCACACTGACATCAGTCATATCTCTGTTTTTAACCCCTCTGCAAAGAACAGCGGGGAAAACCCTGTTTTGCCATTCTTGCAACTGTCGAAAACGAGTACCAGTATACGCCAACAACATGGGGGATAAAATAGTGATGAGTCTTTTATTAAGTGGGGATGCAGGTCCTGGTTTGTTGAGAATGACCTGCTTGGCTCGTGTGAGAACGTGGTGCTCCGAGGAAAGTGCTTGGAGGATTCAGGGCCTTCACCTGGAAAACCTCGAGTGGAATCAAAAGACATTGGGAAACCCTGCACAGGAACCTAGTACATCGCAAGGAGCCGCCACTCAAAAAGTTGTTTTGGGCACTTCGGCGCTTCGTCACGGTGCAAACTAATTAGGATAAAAACTGCAATCGAACGCAAAAGCTTGACAAGTGCGGACACGGCTGAGAGAAACAAAACCCAAAAGGCCAGTGCAAGGCAACGACAACGTACAAGAAGATGTGTCAAAACATAGTTCCAGCGGACACTGATCGGGGCCAGCAACTCAAAATCAAAAATCCAAAGGATAGTGACTGCTAAGAGTATGGACCGGCATGAATTGGTCCCAGAGGGGAAGCAAAGAAAATGAACCCCTTGAAGAGCTCGAAAAGCCAAGATGGTCACCCCAAGCACAATGCACAGCAAGCACATTGCACGGCCCAAAGCCAGCACGGCGAGCCGGGCCACAGGCCAGACAGACGGCGAGGCGGCCAAACAAAGAAAGCGAGCAAAGTCGCAAACCCTCAAGGAGAAGGCGAAACCGGCAGAGAGAGAAAACCCAAGGAACGAAAAAGCGGCCAGGCAGACCGCACTGGCGAACACCATCAAAGCGAGCCTTCATTGCGGGGATGCTTTGGGGCAGGAGTTTCACCGGAAGGGTCTCGAGTTCGCGTTTGCGAAGCTTGTTAAAAGCTGACGCAAAGATGATGAGATTTCTTCAAAGCGAGCATCAACCTTGCTTTCGACCCTGACCTGCCGTTGTTCTAGCTGGTCAAAACGCTCCTCAAGCTTGGCAATTCGCTGATTGTCGGCAGCTAGAGTTGAAACTGGTACGAATGGGCCCGAAGGAAGGGGACCCGTACTGGGTGGAACGCCACCGGACTGCTTGGGAGGCTTGGGATGCGACTGTTACTGCTGCTTCATCATGTTCTCTTCAACCAAAAGGATCTCGAACGTGCTTCCGTTGATATCCAAGGTGAAACGGAGCACAGTGGGCTTTGTATCGAAGGCAAGGCTCCACAGCTGTATACCCCCCCTGTGCGAAACGCCCGAGTGGGGATGGGCGCGTGCCCAGTGGCCTGATGAGTCGAGGTCACCACGAAACACGGTTCGATTGCTGGGGGCCAGCCACTTAATTTGAAGGGAAATCTCGGCACAATGGACATGTTTTCCTGGTCAACCGCAGGTCCATCGGCAGGACTGCCCGGCAAATGCAAGCAATGTTGTCATTCCACGCACTGCAAGGCCGCGCCTTGTCAAGGCAATTCCCGCGAAGCCTGCGGTATTTTGAATCACAATGCGAATTTCAGCTAAATCGCGTGCTGTGGGTGGCCAGAACTTCGGAACGACCGACAGGTCTTCATGGCTGTGTTGCTTGTCAATGTAATCCCGGAGGAAGACCGTTTGGATCCCACTGGAGGCAAGCAGCTCATGACGCTTCTTCAAAGGCGTTTTGATAATACACTGCCATTGGACGTCATTCTTGTCGGCGGTAGGGTGCTTTCCCACTCGCAGAGCGTAAAAGGCGAGCGAATCCTTCAAGGAAGGAAGGGTGTTGTGCGAACACAGTGCATCGGATGTAGTCCAGAGGACCAGCTTTGACTGCATCAATCTCTTGCAGCGAAAGGAGCCTTGTGTCAATCTCTGCAACGACTTCAGTTAGCAGTGAGCGACACTGACGGTTTGGGTAGACTGTAGGTGATCGAACCGTGCAGAGGAAACAGAAGCACCAGCCTCTTATACTCCGAACCCAAAGCAGGGTCCTTGCTCGAATCCATCGGTCGAGAAGGACCCACCCACACATGTGGGGAAAGGCCGGCGCAGCAACAGTGGACGCAGCAAGCCTGCTAGGGTGAAAGTCAAGTAGTCTCGCAACAGCCGCAACAACAGAGTGGAAGTATGGGCCAGGAAATCCAAGCACCCCGACAGTAACAAGATGGCTGGCCTTGTTGACTTCGACTGCACACCAGTGGGCGCGGAGCAAGATGGGAATGACCGTAAGCCTGTTGTTTGGGATCGCAAACTCAGTTTGGTCTCCAAAATCAAAGTCACCAACGCCATCGTTCCCCCACGAGTCCTCGCGGACCAACAGGGGTCACGAAGACCCTCCAGCACCACCTCCAACTCTTTCATGGCGCGAAACCGGGGCTAAACACCACACCAACAGGTCAAGAAGACGGATGACCAGTCGGGTGGCGACCGGTCTCTGTCGACGCTCGCCTCGCAGCAAGTCGCACGGACCGCGGGCCCCCGGTGGCCGTGAGGCAAGCAGCTTTGGGCCAGAATGCCTAGCGACGCCCTTCGTTCCTGGTAGCGTTCTTGTTCCTAGTAGTAAGGCCAGGAGCCCCTAGTAGCGTCGTTGCTCCTAGTAGCGATGCCCTTTGTTCCTAGTAGCGTTCTTGTTCCTAGTAGTAGGGCCAGGGGCCCCTAGTAGCGTCCTTGCTCCTAGTAGCGACGCCCTTCGTTCCTAGTAGCGTCCTTACTCCTAGTAGCGATGCCCTTTGTTCCTAGTAGTGTTCTTGTTCTTAGTCGTAAGGCCAGGAGCCCCAAGTAGCGTCCTTGCTCCTAGTAGCGATGCCCTTTGTTCCTAGTAGTGTTCTTGTTCTTAGTAGTAGGGCCAGGAGCCCCTAGTAGCGTCCTTGC